AATAACAGAGTCTAGCCTACCTTACCTTACCTTGAGGTTACCTTGAGGTGCTTCCGGGGCTTAGTGTCCCCGCGGCCCGGTCGTCGACCAGGCCTCCTGGTTGCTGGACTGATCAACCAGGCTGTTAGACGCGGCTGCTCGCAGCCTGACATATGAGTCACAGCCTGGTTGATCAGGTATCCTTTGGAGGTGCTTATCTTATTAGCCTCTGTAAGATAATTCCTAAGTTCTGAAAGACATATTTCAGTAAAGTATATTATTGTTTGGCTGATAGCAAGTCAAGCCTGGCCCCGGGTAGGGCATGGGGAGGAGTTCAGGGAATTCAGAACTCCCTGAACCCCCATCCAAGAACAATCCAGGTATAGGCCTATCAGGCAACCTATTACTTTTTTCGATAATTGTCACTATAGTAGTTGTTGGTCTAATACGACAGGTGCTTGTAGCTTCCGGGTAAGCAATTACTGGTTAACTAGCGGGCTTGTTATATATGTCTCATTAGTGGTGAAAACCGTATGGCCCCAACCTGATCCACTTCCGGTGATCCCTACACTCTAATTCACACAACTCCCAGGGATTACTCAACTCCCAGGGATTACTCAACTCCCAGGGATTACACAAATCCCAGAGATCACTCAACTCAAATGGATTACTCAACTCCCAGGGATTACTCAACTCCCAGGGATTACTTAGCTCCCATGGATTACTCATCTCCTAAGGATAACGCAACTCCTAGGGATTACTCAACTCTTAGGGATTACTCATCTCCCAAAGATTACTCAACTCCCAGGGATTACTCATCTCCCAAGGATTACTGAACTCCCAGGGATTACTCATCTCCCAATGATTACTCAACTCCCAAGGATTACTCAACTCCCAGGGATTACTCATCTGAAAGGATTACTCAACTCCCAGGGATTACTCAATTCTTAGAGATTACTCATCTCCCAAGGATTACTCAACTCCCAAGGATTACTCAACTCCCAGGGATTACTCATCTCCCAAGGATTACTCAACTCCCAGAGATTACTCAATTCTTAGGGATTACTCATCTCCCAAGGATTACTCAACTCCCAAAGATTACTCATCTCCAAAGGATTACTCAACTCCCAGGGATTACTCGCTAATAAACAATATACAGCATTGTTACATACAGTGTACAGTGCTATAAAGACTGCCCACATAACATCCTCAGAAATGTAACAAAAATTGCGGCCACTCTTACTATAAAGGTTTTTCATAATATAATCGGTCTCTGTCTTCTGACCTTGATTGAAAACCCGCCCAAGAGTGATTACCATTGAAAACCCGCCCAGATGATGATGTATGCCGGGCCAAGGTGCCATAACTCCTTCTTCATGACGTAGTGGTCATTACTCAGAGAGGGGAGAGAGAGAGAGAGAGAGAGAGAGAGAGAGAGAGAGAGAGACAGACAGACAGACAGACAGACAGACAGACAGACAGACAGAGAGTGGATCTTAAGAAAAGATTGGAAACAGGGAATAAAAAGATAAAAGTACAAAGAGAGCTGCATGAAAATTTTATGTACTGTATTGGAAAACAAAATAAGAAGGTAAAAAGATAATTAACGGCCAACAAAAAATGCAAAAGGAGTAGAAGACTTGCCCAAAAACCACAGCAAACAAAACATCTAAGATAAAATGGACTTAAGAATGGTCCAGGACGGACCGAAACGTCGTCGTCCCTTCACCTTCTAGTGTGTGGTCTGGTCATCATACTTTAGCCACGTTATTGTGACTCATCAACTGCATCTAAGATAAAAGTATGCGAAAGGGAAGAAGCATAGACGAGAGAAATGAAAGGTGCGACAAAGAAGGCAGAGGAGTGAAGAAAAAGGAGAGCATGTCCGCTACTCTCCACGGCAGAACTGCCTGGAAGACACACACCAATAACGACTGTCACCTCCAATTGTAATGACCGCCGCCTGTCCAGGTAAAATAATACAGTGAGCCTGTACTGCGCTTCTTAATTATGCACTATTAGGGCAACTGCTAATATGCTCATAATTTGCAATAATAGGCAGAAGACTGTCCTATTAGTGGTATATGTTTATGTCGACTCTATGTATATTCGGGTCAAATTGACCACCATTAACAATACTCCAAATTCAAGCTCAAAAGCTTTATTAATCAATAATTATACCTTCATAGTACAATTCGTTTATAAATAATTTGATGTAAGTTATTTATTATAATAGAAAATGTCATAATAAAGGAATAACACATAATTGTAATAAGCATAAACAGAGTAATAGAACATTCACTCCAATCAAACATAAGAATCTTTTGTCTCACTTTTGAAATAAGTCTTTTGACTCACGGCAGCTCCTCCTTACTTCCACCATTCATATGATATATATGTTTTACCTACGCTTGAAACAATCTAACGATCCAACGTCTATAATATTACCGGATAGTTTGTAACATATAATCAACAACCCTCTTTTTAAACTAATAATTACCCAGGTCTATTCTGTCTCTAAGTTTATGCTATTATATCCATTATTTCATGTTCTATTTTGTTAAAATTTAACATGATATCAATATTCGTTCATTTGTAGACCTAATTTCCCTCCTTACGCTTCTAGTTTTCAGAGAATATAAATTATGCTTACGTAATCTCTCTTCATAGAGCAGGATTATTATGCCTGGAATTAACTTCGTCATACTTCCCTGTCCGCGTTTAAGAGAATTTATACCAGTTCCATAGACGAAAGTCCAAAACTTAACCACATAATCTAAATGGAGCCTAAAATATTGCGATAGTTGTAGCTGGCTGGTAAGTGCTTCTAGGTGTAGAGTATACACTACACTTCTAGGTGTAGAGTATGCACTACACTTCTAGGTGTAGAGTATGCACTGCACTTCTTGGTGTAGAGTAAACACTCCACTTCCAGGTGTAGAGTATACACTATGCTTCTAGGTATAGAGCATACACTATCGTACGTCGAATGAGACAGGAATGGTATATGGTCATATTTACCTGGCTGTCTGGGGACCACTGTGGTGTTTACAACATGCCATTGGGAATACGATTACAACCCTTAATCTTAAACGAAATTTGAACAACATTGCTTTCTCGGCTGGAATCGAACTCTGGAGCCTCGGACTGCTATGCAGCTACGACTAACCGCTCCCCCAAGCTGTACTTAACCTTTATGTACTAATACCGTGCGAGTAGCCACGAGCTAATAAGCTTTTGAAAGCTTTTTGTATCCGAGAGCATTTCTTGTCATTTTATTACTTTCGAGAAAGATTGTTATTGAATTCCTATAAGCTTTAGCAGCACCTAGTGTTACACGACACACAGTCTTGCTCAAGAGTTTATTGACTCTCTAAACTGCTTTTTTGTTATATGTCAAATGCCAATAATTTTCAAATTACCATAAAATTCTTAGTAGATTCAAACTTCATAAAAATGTGTTTATTTGAGCTACGTCAACACTATTTAAATAACGTAACAATAAATATCTACAGACACGTGATGATGAACGAGGACGACCATAGGGCACGAAAGGTCGCTGGGGTCGTGTGTTTCTGGCTATCGTGAGGTTATCTTGAGATGATTTCGGGGCTTTAGTGTCCCCACGGCCGGTCCTCGACCAGGCCTCCACCCCCAGGAAGCAGCCCGTGACAGCTGGCTAACACCCAGGTACCTATTTTACTGCTAGGTAACAGAGGCATAGGGTGAAAGAAACTCTGCCCATTGTTTCTCGCCGGCGCCCGGGATCAAACCCGGGACCACAGGATCACAAGTCCAGCGTGCTGTCCGCTCATCCGACCAGCTCCCCCGGCTAGGCCAAATAACTTCAAATCGGGCAAACCCTCTTGCTAAATCGGGTTTGCAACTAGTTGTCCTCCACAGCCATCCACTGCTCTCTACTGTCAACTGCTCTCTACTGTCAACTGCTCTCTACTGTCAACTGCTCTCTACTGTCAACTGATCTCTACTGTCAACTGATCTCTACTGTCAACTGCTCTCTACTGTCAACTGCTCTCTACTGTCAACTGATCTCTACTGTCAACTGCTCTCCACTGTCAACTGCTTATATCACCTGCCACCTACTGTTCACTGCTGTAACACGTTGGCTACTCTCTGCCATCCACTCTCCTTCCATTACCTTCAGCTGCCATCCGCTGCCATCCGCTGCCATCCGCTGCCAACCGCACTTCGTCACTGCCTGCCCACATGCACAAAGGGCTTCATGACAGCCAAATTTACGGGATGGAAACTCATACACAGAAACGACAATTATTATTGAATCACGTTAATCACTAGACCTTGACCCCGACTGTCCTTGAGAGAACTGGATTTCCAAATTATGACCAAGAAATGGTAAGAGAGAGAGACGTGCGCCAAGTGACTGCTAACCTGAGGGGTCAGAGGTCATGGGTTAGTTATAAAGGCCAATAACTAGGCCATATCAGGTGGAGGCAGTTACAGACTTTGTGTTCAGTAACAACACGTGACAGGAGCCAGCAAGGTACACATGCAAGTGATCCAGTAGTTCTAAAGATGTAAACATCGAATGTATAAAGTTATTGCATCTTTTATAAACACTAATACAAACACGGGGGGAAGCAATCATGGTGTTTACCTACCCGCTGTATTGAAAAATCTTTACCTAATCTACGCTGCAACATTGCATTGGCTTAATACGTCATCAATGGTACTGTGGCAATAGCCTATTGGTGCTCTGCACAGGGCATTACAGAGCTATGCTTTGAAGCATAATAATGTCCAGTTTCAGCATGGTGTTATGTTCATGTTCACTCGGTACTATGGTGATAGGTCAGTGTTCAGCTGTTACTACCAACGTAGTCACAACGTGTGGCACCAAGGCACTATAGCCAGTGGCACCACGCCACTATAGTCAGTGGCACCACGCCACAATAGCCAGTGGCACCATGGCACCATAGCCAGTGGCACCACGGCACCATAGTATCATGTTTAATAGTACCTTGGGATAATGGATAACTGCACTACAGTACTATGACTTGCCACACTGTGATGATGTGATCCTTGACACTGTCATGCTGTGATCCTTGACACTCTGATGCTGTGATCTTTGACACTGTCATGCTGTGATCCTTGACACTGTCATGCTGTGATCCTTGACACTGTGATACTGTGATCCTTGACACTCTGATGCTGTGATCCTTGACACTGTGATACTGTGATCCTTGACACTCTGATGCTGTGATCCTTGACACTGTGATGTTGTGATCCTCAACACTGTGATGCTGTGATCCTTGACACTCTGATGCTGTGATCCTCAACACTGTGATGCTGTGATCCTCGACACTGTGATGCTGTGATCCTCGACACAGTGACGCTGTGATTTATGACACTGTTAAGACTTGACATGTGTTGCAACAAAACGTAATTCCTTGTTAACTCACAAATTAATTCTAAGACACTTTTAGGCCCAAATCATTCTTGATTAATGGGAACTGAAATGGTCCGCTTGCAACTTCTATTTATATCAACAAATAGGTAAGGTTCTGGGATTTCTTTAGCTTTGGTAACGTGACGCAAAACAATTTTTTTTCGACGGTATTTTGTGAAGACAGAAACTGTAAATCGGTCGGTCGTTTGCAGGTGATTTGTAATTTGGTGGAATTGTATCATTACTGACGATCCAATCGCGTCCTAATTTATATAAAATCGTATTTGTAAACTAATTTTATTCCCCAGTGATTACTAGTAATTTATATAATGAGCAAACCTCCTGGCGCGATGCCAGAGTTGGTTTACCGCCGCGAAAATTGATTTATAGATGAATAAAATGATCCGTAGGAGACAGACTCTTTTGTTTAATCTCGGAAACCGATTTTTGGGTAAGAAAATAGATCTTAAGGTGCCAAGTTGGGTCTTCCACTGGTGTTGAGTGGTCTTCCACTAGTGTTGTGTGGTCTTCCACTGGTGTTGAGTGGTCTTCCACTTGTATTGTGTGGTCTTCCACTGGTGTTGTATTCTCAACTAGATGTGCTTGCGGGGGTTGAGCTCTGGCTCTTTGGTCCCGCCTCTCAACGGTCAATCAACTAATGTACAGATTCCTGAGCCTACTGGGCTCTATGATATCTACATATGAAACTGTGTGTGGAGTCAGCCTCCACCACATCACTGCCTAATGCATTCCACTTTAACTAACTACTCTGGCAGTGAAAAAGTTCTTTCTAATATCCCTGTGTCTCATTTCGGTACTCAGCTTCCACCTGTGTCCCCTTGTATGTGTACCATCCGTGTTAAATACCGCAGATTTACTTATTTACTTATAATTATGATTTAATTATCAGTTGCTGCGTTTGATTATATCACGAGACCAATAAACTTCTGTAAACTCGGTATTCTCATCATTACAGTAATTTTGTATTATGTAGTTGTCAATATTTCCATTTTGTGCTAAAGGCCTAATTAATTTTTACAAGTGTATGTGAAAGTAATTTATCAAATCCAATTTTGTACCAATTCTTTCGATTATATATCGTCTTCCCGAATACGATATTCTTCAAATTGAATTTATATAACATTATCAATCTGAAAGCAAAGGGACAGGATGAAGGGCTAGCGACCACGTTCCTCATGTTGCTTGCACGACATGACATTTACAGAATGAGAAAATCCATGAATTTGTGTAGGGTGGGTTGGTCTCCCTCTGATTCCCTCCTAACCATCCCCACAATAACTCTAAACTCCTCCTGTTTCTACCCATATACCCACCTCTCACTCAACTCCTATCTTCATCCATCACAGTCACACATCCTTCAACCATACTTCTCATACCGTGACCACATCCCCCGGCGCCAGCCACATCCTCTCCTCTCTCGCCAAGAATGGATACATGGGTTGTTCCGTATTACTAATACATAACACTACATCTTCTGCCCAACAAGGAATATATATGGACATTGAATTTTGTATAGAGCTGTAATTACATCCGAGGTACAGCTGGGTGGTTTGTGCAGCAGCCAGGGAGACATTCACCTGCCAGGGAGACTTTCACCAGCCAGGGAGACAATCACCAGCCAATCAGAGAGACATTCACCAGCCAATCAGAGAGACATTCACCAGCCAATCAGAGAGACATTCACCAGCCAATCAGAGAGACATTCACCAGCCAGGGTGACATTCACCTGCCAATCAGAGAGACATTCACCAGCTAATCAGGGAGACATTCACCAGCCAATCAGGGAGACATTCACCAGCCACTGAGTTATTCACCAGCCAACCAGAGAGACATTCACCAAGAATGGGCTTCGTTCTCAATTAAGAACAATTCGGACGTCATTCATAACCTTTGATGTAGAATAGAATGCATTGAAACACAAATATATCTATTATGCTTATTTTTTGCAGTTCGTTGCTTTGATTTTGGTGCGTCGGGTTTAAGTTGGGACATATATTATACTTTTTGGTATAAATACGAGAGAATTGTGTTCTATTTTCAATCCGGAACAAAGTTCAGAGCCTGCGTAGTTTATCCCGAAGCATATACTTTTATTTTAAGCAGTAGTAAAGAAAAAAATAAATTATATTTACATGAAAACATGTCAATAAAACGTTCGTCTCTTGATATCAACTCTTCAAAATCGGATTAATTAGCTCGGTGATAAAATTGCTTCATATTTTAGCCATTAGAATCCGTCAATCTTTTTTAAAATGTGTGTTGCTGATGCTGCAAAGAAAAAAAATCGTTTCCCTTTTCATTTAAATCATTAAAAAAGTCTAAATTAGAATTTTAATGGGATAGTCACCCCGGCGGCCGGCAATCACCAGAAAATACATGGACACGTGTTTGGCCTAATAATTCGCTTCCGTTTTAGGGTTTTCCTGCTAATTCGTTACATGGTAATGAGGTTTTATAATGACAGCTGGGGACGAGACCAACGTGTTTCCTCGATATATTACGTTTGATACGAATGTGTATGTTAGCGTATGCTTGTATGTGTGTTATTGCTGATATTCATGGCTATTTATGTACGTATGTTGTTGTTGTTAAAGATTCAGCTTCTAAGTACAAAAATTTCAAAGTAGCACGGGCTATGGTGAGCCCGTATGTACGTATGAAGGGTTATAAAGGAGACTGTAAAAGGCAACCGACCAACCAGCGCCTATATTATAGTTTAGGACTAAAGTAAACTCTGGTTGTATTTACACTGAGAAGTGAGGTACACCTCTCAGTGAGTATACCACTTAATTGTGTCCTATAGTCTTATCTGGCATCATTCGTCCTTCTTAAAAAATTCTTGGTAGGTGACATCAGTAGAACGTATTATTTGTTTTACAACTGTACAAATATAAACTTTATAAAAAAAAGTCTGAAAGTTCATTATTTTTGTTTTTTATTGGGATTTAGGCCTTAAACTAGGAAGTAAAACTGGTTATCGTATTCAAAGAAACGTTTTCCATAGAACACAAGCCAGCGTTCGAACCAGGCTCGTTCTCTCTTGTCAGGCGAGCAAGTGTGGGGCTAACCGCTTGAATTATTATTGGTAACAATGGACTAGATTCGTGAAGAAGTTACGCAAACACTTACGAACCCTGTACATCTTTTCTCAATCTTTGCCGGCTTTGTTTACAATTATTAAACAGTTAGTGAGCTCCGAAGCTCCAGGAGGCTGTTTATATCAATAACAACAGTTGATTGGCAAGTTTTTATGCTTGTAAACTGTTTAATAAATGTAACCAAAGGCATCAAAGATTGAGGAAAGATGTACACGTTCGTAAGTACTTACGTAACTGCTTCGTGAATCTGGCCCAAGGTTTAATTACAATTGTTTAAATACATATTTGGCTGAATCTAAACGTGCGATAAATCTCAAAGATGGTAGAGACCTACTGGATGTCGATAAAGAAATAATTCTCCGGACAGCCGAGTTGTTGATTCACAATAAATGTTATTATTATTAACATCTTTATTGACAAAATTAATTACAATTTTGCCTAATCTGAGGATTTTGATAGTCTTATTAAAGTGAGGATAATGCTAGTATTCACTGTCACGCAGGACAGAGGGTCATACATAAGATAATAAGTCTAAACTGTAGGCTGAAGCACATATATATCATGATTACAATCAATGTTTTAATGTATGGATATGTGAAAGCAACTTTCTATTGTGCACTGCCACACAAGGGCAGGGATGGGTTCATAAGTGATACAGCTTAGAAGTAATATAAATAAAAATTGCAAATGTTGTGTAATATTCCCCAAGCGGCCCAACTGTCAGGTCAGTGACGCTACCAGCAACGAGACGTGGATTACTTTCCTTACAATACAAAGAGTGTTAACTATAATTCAACCTATGGCCAAATTCAACAAGAACACTAAGGAAGATAATGTTCACAGTCTATGGTAGTATCTACGTCCTTATGGTACATAATCTGGATGTTCTCACATTCATTTGTAGCATGTTGCTTATGTTTCCGATGAGGGACGATTATTCAACGTATATGAATGCAAAGTTGCCGAATATAGAACTAAATATATTATTGTTAAGTGATGGAAGACAAGTGAGCAACAATTTGTGACGGACGGGAGAGTTTGACAGGGCGAGTCTTGCCTGACACTTCCTTATACTCTCCTTCACCTCAACTACTCGAGATGTGAGGAGTGTTTGGGAGCTGCTTGGTCCTTCCATAGTGTTACACCCACAGTCACTACGAAGTGTAGCCTTGTGAGTGTACACACCTGACACCATGTTCATTAAGAGCTACTTAGCCAGTCTCGAGTTAAAGTTAATAATACAAGAAAACATGTGTTTACTATATGTATTATAAAATTTTGCACACTATCCTCATGAAGCCGTTCATAGAGAATATTTTCTCTGTTTTCATATTTGTTATTTTCTCTGTGTGTCTATTAGCCACTATCGCTATGGATGTTGATAGTGAGGGCGGTGTCTATCGATTGATGAAGATTAAGCCACCCAAAAGGTGGCACGGGCATGAATAGCCCGTAAGGTGTCTATCGTGAGGGTGTGAGTGTACCTCACGACCACCACCAGGGAAGTGAGGGTCAGAATAGTGTGTTACACTTCTATGGCCTTGCTGCTCGGGACCGGGATTAATCTAACATTTACGCATCCACTTCTAAACCTGTACATCTTTCAATATTTATTGCGGTTTAATTTACATTTATTAAGCAGTTTACGAGCTTCCAAGCTTAACCCAAAATTATTTTTGTTATAAACGACTTCGTAGCTTATAAAGTGTATGATAAATGTTGACATAACTGCCATGATTGTTGAGATGTAAAGGTTTTGCAAGTGGATGCCTTAATAGTTGAGGATTCCTGGCCTTGGGCTATAATTTTAATAGAGACCGTGCGGCC